CCTGTGAATGTCTCTTAGCCCAGTGGCGAGCAGGGTTGACAAGCGAGCACAGGACATTGAGATGTCACAGGTCAGGGATGCCCTCTGTCCTCTGCGCCACCCGTGGGGCTGGGCAAGGGACAAATGCCAGGAGAAAGCTTCACAAGGGAACATGGCTTCTTAGAGCAGGTGTCTTCCACCCCCTCTTTTTTTTATCACCCCGCTATCTCATTCAGAAGAACTAACTTTAAGGCTCAGGTCCCTGCATTCTCGGGTAACATCTCTTAATGTAACTTCCTCAACTTCAAATAGAGATAAAACTATCTTATTAAAACCTTGTTGCAGTGGCCACATGAGTTAATATTTATAAAGATGTCTGATAATCGATCTTATGTAAGGCCGCTTTTTTATTTTAAAAAGAATAAAAAATAAAAAAATAAAAAATGATGCAGAATTTCAAAACAAGATGATAGGGAATTAACAATGGTTGTTATATTAGATGTTGTTAACTTTGAAGTAGTTGTTCAGATTACCAGATATAGGTATGCATTAACTGTTCCTTTCAATAAGCTACTAGAAATTGCTAGTACAATTATCTTAGCTATCTTGTGTGAATATATATTTTTCCCTTCTTTCTTCCTTTTCTCCCTTCTTTCATCCTAGTTGTCATTTCCATTTGAGCAGTTTCTTTCACTTTCACAGTATCTATTCTATGTTTCAGATTTTATTTACTCTTTCAGGTTCTTACATGAGAGAGACAATTTACACATGCAGGTCTGTTTTATTTCACTTATGACTATGGTCTCTAGTTGCATCCATTTACCTATAAAAGCCTCAAGTTTCTTTCTTTATAGCTCAGTAATACTCCATTGTATAAAAATATCATATCTTTTTTATCCATTCCTAGGTTAATGTGCATTTGGTTGTTTCCAAGATTTAGCTATGACAAATTGTGCTGCTATAAACCTGGGTGTACATATATCACTGTGGTATAATGCTTTCAATTCTTCTGGGAAAATACCCATAAGGAAAATAGCTGTTTTGAATGGGACCTCTAACCACAGTTCATTGAAGAATCTCTAGGCTGCTTTCCCAGTGGTTGCACCAGTCTACACTCCCACCAAGAGTGGAGAAGCATTTCTTTTTCCCCTCAGCCTCTCCAGCATTTGCTGTTGGTTGATTTCTTGATGATAGCCATTCTTTCTGGGGTGAGATGGAATCTCAGTGTGGTTTTAATTTGCATTTCTCAAATGACCAATGATGTTGAACATTTTTTCATATTTTTATTTGCCATTTGTTTTTCTTCATCCAAGAAGTGTGTCCTCATCTCAGAAGTCCATTTTTGGATTTGGTCTTTCAATTTTGGGGGCCTGATTTTTTTTAATTCTTTATATGTTCTAGATAGATGTCCTTTGTCTGGGGGACAGTTGGCTAAATTTTTCCCCAATTCGTGGGTTTTCTGTTTACTCTGTTGGTGATTTCTTTTGATGTGCAAACACTTTTCAATAAGATGAGATCCCAGTTGTTGATTCTTTGAAGTATTTCTCACGCAATTTGGGTTTTGTTCTTGAACTCTGCCTGCCCCTATGTCTTCAAGATTTCTACCTACTTTCTATTCCAGTAGATTTAGTGTTTGTGTTTTAATATTTAGATCTTTGATCCATTTTTACTTTAAGTAAAAAGACATGGATTTAGCTTTAGTCTTTAGCATGTGGAATGCCAGTTATTCCAGTACCATTTATTAAGAGGCTATCTTTCTTCCGGTGAACGTATTTGGCCTCTTTGTCAAAGATAAGGTGGCTGAGTATGTTTGTAGATGTGTTTGCATCTTCTAACCTGTTCCATTGATCTTCATGGGGGTTTTTTTGCAAGTACCATGCTGATTTTTATCACAGTAGCTTTGTAGTATAGTTTCAAGTCAGGATTGTGATGCCTCCTGCCTTGCCATTGTTGCCCATGATTGTTTTTTCTGTTCTAGGTCTCTTCTGGTTCCAGATGAATTTTAGGAATGTTTTCTCTGGATCTGTGAGGTATACTCATGGTATTTTGATCGGGATTGCATTGAATCTTTATAACAGTTTTGGGAGGATGGGCAAGATACCTTTTTATTTGTCAAACATCTCTAATTCACATGCTCTGTTGATATCTCAAATCATCAGACATGCAACTGCACCTGCAAGGAAGAGCTATAAGTGGGATGAATGGTTGGGCACATTGCCCTTAGCGGTGAAGTGCAGGGAGTGAGCAAGGCCAGGTGGCCCTGTTCTTTCTCCAGATGGAGATGTTGGCCATCATCTGCAACAGAAGCAGGAGCCACATGGCATGAAGATGCATGACACCCCCAGCAGCCAGCGCAGACTGGCCTTTTGCCTCTGTCTGTGGCTCCCTGTAGATCTGCATAAAGTACTTCTCTCTGAATCTCACAATCTTCTGACATAAGGAAACAGAGTTTCTGTGGCTGGGGCATTTGCTTCTGACTATGAGGAAATGGTGGAGGAGGCATAGGACCCTGTCCACCTCGGGCAAAGTTCCTTCTTTCCAGGACAGCAGTGCCTCGCTAAGTGTACAGCATCTAACAGCAAGCCTGAGAATGGCAGCTTTCTACCCATGCCATCATTTTACCCCTCTGCAGGTACCCATCCCTGGACCTCCAGGCCCCCATTGCCACCCCATTCTACCCTTCCTGGTCAGTAGTCCCCTCACCCCTTGCTGTTATATATGGTACAGCTCAGTGGTTCACAGGAAGTCATCTCTGAAGGCTGAGGTGTAAGCATGGAAAGATATGTTTGGGTCTGCACTGGGGAAGGGTTGTCAAAACCCCCCACTCCCTCTGTGTTCTTTTTAGGGTGGTTGTGCCATGCCTCTGAGCTGCCTCCCAGATGCCCATGGTGACACAGTCTTAGGCCAGCATGGCTAGCAGCACTTGTTATAGCTGTCTTCAGCTTCTCAGGCACACACCATGTTTGCTGAATGAAAAGATGAATACAATATGTTGTCTCAAAAGAGAGGCCCAGGCACCCCCAGAAGTGCTCTCACCAGGCGCCTTTAATGTCTCCCAACACTTAAGTCACATCCAATAGCTTGTCAAGTGTTCAATGCCACCTGTTCCCCTGACCAATTCATTCCTGCCTTGACACACTCCTACCCCCACTTTTCCTGCATTGATTTTGGCTCCAAGATGGTGACAGTGATAAAAGCAAGATGGGTCCCCAGTGTCACCTCCATGACACATCAGGCAAATTTAAGGTATATTTTGTTTCTTTTTATTATTATTATTTTGTACTGGGAATTGAACCCAAGACTTTTTCACTAAGCCGCATTCCCTTTAAAAAAAAAAAAAACAAAAAAACAAAAACACTTTTGAGACACGTTCTTGCTAAATAACCAAGTTTTTCCAAGCTGTGTTTGAACTTTCAATCCTGTGCCTCAACTTCCCAAGGTGCTGGGATGACAGACATGCACCACCACACCTATCTTTCCCCGGAGTCCATGGACCGACCTTCCTGGGTGGACACCACCTCCTCAGACCCACTCCGCAACTGCCCAGATGGACCTTGCTGGGTCCCATCCTGCTGTGTTTTCCAAGTCAGCCTCGCTGAGCCAGGTCCCACAAAACCTGCATGTTCTGCACCATTCTCACAGGGCTGTAGAACGGGAAGAAGTTGGGAAGATGCTGCTACTGCTGCTGCTGCTGCTAATGATCTTTATTGAAAGGCTTTCTCAGAGGATGCTAATAAATGTGAGGACATTGTAGTACATATTTGAAAAATACTATTCAAAGATTGCAATTTGCATATTTGTTACCAGCGAGTGTTATTGTTATGGTCGGAAAGTATCAGACACAGTTAAGGGCTTTGCTGCAGAGAAGCTGAAAGGAAGCACTAGGTTCACTCTGTGTGTCCAGAATTAAGAAGATTAAGAAGACAAGCCCCACCTTTTTTGGCCAAGGATTACTTGTTTTCCAAGTAGCAATGCCCATTCTCATTCTCTCACTCCCTCTCCCTCTCCCTCTCCTTCATCTTCTCCCTCTCCTTCTCTCTTGGCATGCATTCTACCACTGAGCTCCACCTCAGGTCCTGTCCCCTGGGAAAGGGAGCCCAAAGTGCTGCTCAGTGCCAGCTTCCCAGATCTCAGGCCCTGCAGCCTGTGGTCATGGCTTACCTTATCTGGATCAGGCCTCTAATTCACATCAGGAACATCTGAGGACTGGCTAGTAGGTTGTCTTTGTGGTTTATCTTACAGGTAAAGATATTTTAAACCAAGTATGGTGGTGCATGCCTATAATCCCAGCACTTGGGAGACTGAGGCAAGAGCATCTTGTGAGTTCAAGGTCAGCCTGGGCTACAAAGTGAGCTCAAGCCCAGCTTAAACTGCATAGTGAGACATTGTCTCAAAAAGACCAAAAAAAATTTTTTTAAGTAAAGTTTTTTGTTTCCTCCAATAAGATCACTGCATGGAGGTCAAGAAGCACATGACTTATGGCAAAAGAAAACTCTTTTGGATGTATTTATTACAATGTTTCACAGTCAGCATATGATTTCATCTTCTAGAATCACCAGTAAGAACCAAATCCAAGAGTGACACCGAGTAACACATTCCTGGAACACAGGTAGGGAAAACACCCCTCCTGAAATGGTCTTCAAAGGGGGATCATATTTTCTTTCATCATTTTATTTATTTATTTATTCATTTATTTATTTATTTAGACAGGTTCTTGCTTTGTAGCTCAAGCTGGCCTCCAACTCACTATGTAACCCAGGCTGGCCTCAAGCTGGTGGCTGTCCTCAGCCACTCGAGTGCTGGGATTATAGACATGTGCCACCATGCTCAGCTTCTGTCATTTTATTTAAACTCAGCTGAGGTACAGGTTGCGGGAAGAGCCACCATGTTTAAAAGTCAAGGACCCACCAGTCAATCTATACACTGAAATGCCTTTGCCAACACATATTTCTACAAATGCAAAGGCATCTTATTCCAAACAGTAAATTAAACAATAGCGAAGAAAAACAGTTACAGAGAACTTTTTTGTAACAATATTTAATTTCTATCAGATCTCCAAGGTACTTTAGGTAATTAAGTACAGTAGACCCTCAAGTTACAACTGGCCTGACATATAAACAACCTGGGTTACCACCAGAATTTTAGTTTTAACTTATGACCAAAGTCTTGAGTTATGACCCAAAAGCTGGTTGCTTGTGCTTCCAGATGGTATCAGGTACAGATTTAACCCTTGAAGAGTTCTGGAAGGAGCATTACAGCAGCCTTTCCTGCATGGGGCTCATGGAGAAATCCTGGGCCAGTGTCTGTCTAAGGACAGTGGGATCCACCTGTGCACAGGACAGAGACTTTGAAGGATATGGAGAGGACCAGCCCTGGGGAACCAACTGAATGCATAAGTCAAGGGTCCACTGCACTATACTTGATAGCAACAGAAATACCAGCTCTCACTAGAACAGATAAGTAGACAAAAGGTAGAGATTTGAGGGTCTTAAGAAATAAAACAAGTTAAGACAAAGCACAACAGATAATTCTTTAGTATTGAGATTAATTTGGGGCAAGCAAGTATGGGAAGAATACAGAAAAGCAAAGATCCCTGGGAGTTTCTTGGGATGATAAATTCCTCTTCATCCCTTCTGCTTGGCTCCTGGTAAAGCAGCTCTCAGGCGCCTGTGCCTTCAGATGTCTGGGCCTGAATGTAAACTGTGTTTTCTTTGGGCTTCCCTTTCCTGTAGTAACCAGGAATAAAAATTATAGTTGACACCAATCAGTAAGAAATCAACACTTTAACAGAGAAACTGTTGCACATTTGTATGCAGAAGTGTCCCAAAACAGAGAGCAAAGATCGTGAGAAACAAGAAAAAATAAAGGGAATAGGGGTGAGCAAACCACAGCCCATGGGCCACCTCTGGGTTACGAACCACGCTCTTGTATGATCCATGAGAAATTTTTTTTAATTTTTAGGTACATGAAAAAATAAACAAATATTTCATAGCATTTGAAAAATGAAGTCAAACTTCAATGCAAATAAATAAAATTTTACTGGAGTCAGTACACGACTGTTCACTTTTCGGCTTGGCTGCTTTCTGCAGCAGAGGCAGCACTGTGGTGGCGACAGAGCCCATCAAGCCCAGGGCCAGATCATTCACTCTGGTTTGCAGACACCTGAGGTAGAACGCATATCCAACTGCTATCTAACTCAGGAACTTTATAGTCAACATTCCTTTTGAATCTGGTGACTTTCAGGGGACCTGTCACCACTTCCTTCATCTGTAGAATGGGTATAATTACAGTAGCAGATGCTGCATGGTGTTTTGAAAGGCTGAGGTGAAAAGGTGCAGATTGTTTCCAGTGAGGAACACAGAACAGTGTTCCATAAAGGCTGGTCATTGTCCAGTGTTTGCCAAGAAGGCAGGGAAGGAGGAGTAATAGAAATGATCTCTGCGGCCACTGACTCCCTGCTACTTAAGGAATTTTACAAGGTGTGATCCCAATATACAATAAATGTTTAAATTTTAAGTTTATAACAGTAAGACATCTCATCATTTATCCCCCTCAAGACACTCCCCTTCACTTCCGACACACTTATCCCATCATCTTTGCCACTTTCTGATGTAGGTCTGGAAGTCTCCTTTCATGAGCATCCTTACAAGCTATAATAAAATATACAGTGAATGCTGCTGCTGAGTGCCATCTAACGGAAAGGCAGGCTTAGAAAAACATAGTATGTTCTCATTCACCCTGTGCACTGGCTCTGGCACTGTGTGATTTCTGGCTCTTCCCCAAAGACAAAATGATCATGAAAGATCAACATTGTGAACCCATTCAGGACACTGCAGAAGCCACAATAGTGTAACTAATGCCATTCATGCAAGAGGACTTCCAGGGATGCTGTGGAGAGTGGCAAGAATGACTGTGTGTGTTTGAAATGAAGGAGAGCATTTTGAGGGGGATCAATGCAATGTGTTTTTTATTGTAATAACTTGTTTTGAGACAGGGTCTCACTATGTAGTTCAGGCTGACCTGGACTCACTATATAGTCCCCCTGCCTCAGCCTCCCAAGTACTGGGATCATAGGTGTGTGCCACCACACCCAGCTTGTAATAACATTTTAAAATTTAAACATGCCCTGTATTTTTATCACACCTCATATAGTGGTGAAGACAGTGAAACAATTGGTTATAATAGAGCCTAAAGAGCTCTGTTGAGAACAGAGAATATATAGGGTATCGGGCTCAGAGCAGGAGCACCTGGCCTCCCAGGCGGGGCAGGGATGGTTATGAAGTAACTATCTGAGTTCGTGGAACTTTCACAACAACCTTTTAAATTCAATTTTACTGTGGCTACATTACAAAGAAGAGGTTAAAGTCTATAAAGGATTCATCACATTCCCAAAATCCCATGGCCATGTTTGGATTTAAACCTAGGTCTTCTTAAGAAGAAGGCCATGCTGTCCATGCACAGGGACACATACATTGGAGGTGTGAAATCCCTAGAACTGCACCTGGAAAGGTGTCCTCACAGGCACTTTTTAGAACCTGAAAGTCCACTAAAGTATACGTGCTGTCACAAGAACGACGATTTAAACCATTCTTCTTTGTGAATAAAGTCACTAATAATCTAAACCAACCATTACTAATAGCTCAGGAGGTTGATTTAAAAATGCTGTCAACTCAGAGTTTTTAACTCTCGAGGTCTTGGTGCCCGACAGCCACATCACTGACAAATACACTCGGCTCTCTGTGGTGCTGTTCTGGACAGAATGTATGGTTCCTCTTCTCTTCTTTCTTCACATACAGTCAAGGACTATTGAATTTTGTTTCCATCCACAGCTGCTCTGGCAGCAAGACTAAGCTATACAAATATCTATAATGCTCTCCACAACCTTTAAGATGGTGAAATGGGGAATGTGGGGTGACACTGTGGCCCTTTCCAGAGGTCCTGCCCACCCCGGCACCCAGGGCTTCACCTCCGGAGGTTCTCAGCATCTTCAATGGTCTCTGGCAGAGCAACCCCCTTGGTCTCTGGAAGAAGCAGCGTCATTCCTCCAGCAGTCAGGCCCAACACGCCTTCAAATGAAACAGGTTGCACACAGAGGCATCAGACCATTGCCAGGACTATGTACAGAAGATATTGCAGCAAGCCAGAGAGATGTCCAGATAACACATGGAAGAGGAGAGAAACTTTTTTTTAAGTTGTCAGGAATATTTAAGTAGAAAATGAAAGCAATGGGACAACAGGGAAATGCCAGCATAAGAAAACACTGTTTTCATTTTACTTGTTACTGTTTAAGAATTAGGGGACATAAACCGGGCGTGGTAGCACATACTTGTGATCCCAGCACTCTGGGAGGCTGAGTTAAGATCACAAGTTTGAGCCCAGCTAGACAATTTAGGCAAATTATCACTACCCTGTATCAAAATAAAAATAAGAAAATAGCTAGGAAATGTAGCTCAGTGCAAACAAAGGCCCTGGGTTCAACACCCAGCCACCCCAAAATAAGAAGTTAATTCAGGTACCTTAAGAACAATGTAAAACAAAAATTTGACTAGTTGCAATAGAAAGATATTGATGTAGACACACAGATAAATACAGAGCACAGCCAATATAAATGTGGGCAGTGGGGATCCCTCTAATGTCACTGCTCCCTCCCTTTCTCCTGCTGTCCTCTCCCAGCTTCTTTCCTCTATCTCTCTCCCCACCTCCCACCCTTTCTTTCTCACCTTCTCTCTTTCTCCTACCCCCTTCCTTCCCTAGCATTCACCTGTGCCACCCATGGCTGATTCCTACACAAAACCAGCCATTTCACCCTCTACCAAGTGGGAAAACTGGTTTTAGAGGTCCCACAAACTAGGTTTAGAGAAAGAAATAGTAGTCCCCTTCCCTTTCACTAGCTTTGAAAATAAAGAAATAAAGCTGCTATAGAACTTGGCTTCCATTTGTTTCCTGGGTCTGTTCTCAATATTTAAGATCCAAAAGCAGAAGGAGGGTGATAATTCAGTGTCTTCATACCTCCAGCAATTATATGCTAGATGTGCAAGAGTTAGCAATCAAATACGTAAGAAAACACTCTGCCCGAATGTTCGTCACATTCTGTCCTGTAGGGTGAATTATTGGATTCAGAAGCTAGAGGATATAAACCTCTGACTACTTCCCAGGAGTGGTATCTTGTCTTCCCCAAGAAACAAGATAGACTGAGCAAAGAAACAAGTGGAGAGCACGCTCCTTCCTCTGCATTCACTCCCCACACGGCTGCAGAGACTCACACCGTACCCACTGCTGGCTGGAAAGAAAACATAATCAATTCTCTTGAAGTCTTACCAAACAAAATGAGGGGCAAGGCTTGCCAAACTTCCATCAGCCTGTAGACCATGAAGGGTGTGAAGATCCCACCCAAGTCGCAGAGGGCGGAACACACCATCACCCCAAGGCTCCTAATGAAATACATGGAACCATAAGATTACATTCTACAATTCAATTTTTTACATTCGAAATGTATTATTTTATTTATTTTTATTAGTACATGTTTGCAATACATAATGCTTACATTCCTTATGTACAGTTAGTACATAATACATCCTAGTTCCTTTTTTCATCCTCTTCCTCTACCTTGAAGTAAGCTTGTGTGTCTGATTTATTTTGCTTAAAATTCTGGTCTCAAGGTGCAACCATTTTCCTACCAATTACTCCAGTTCTTTCCTTTCTTTCTTTCTTCTTTCTTCTTTTTTTCTTTCTTTCTTCTTTCTTGGGGGGCGGTGGTGGTTGAGACAGGGTCTTGCTATGTAGTTCAGGCTGGTCCTGGACTCACTATGTAGCCCAGGCTACTCTTGAACTTGCAGCAATCCTCTTGCCTCAGCTACCACACCTGGCTAAATTTATCTTTCTTAATGGCAGAGTAGGGCTCCATTGTGTGTAAATACCATATCTTCTTTATCCATTCATCTGTTGATGGACGTATAGGCTGCTTCCAAGATTTAGCTATTATGAACAGTGTTCCTATAAACATGGGTATATGCATATCACTAAACCATGATACCTTTCACTCTTTTGGAAAGCTATCTAGAAGTGAAACAACTAGGTCAAATGGAATTTCTGGTTTTAGTTTTTTGAAGGATCTCCATACTGATTTCCATAGTAATTGTATATTATGGCTTGTGTTTAGATAACCCTGCAAAGCCTCATACGGCTATAGTGGGGTGGCTGGATCTATAGTGTGTGATGTTGGAATCAAGGGTGTGTGATAAGTAAATTAGTCTAGTGATTGGTTTGGCATAATTCTGGATGTGGATAATGGGAAGGCCCAGCCTGGGTGTGAGTGCCACACACCCTAAGGGTGTATAGCCTAGGCAGAACATAAGGGATGGAGGGTAATGTCCCAAAGAGGGCAGTGTGGATGAAAGCCAAACAAATGTTCTCACATGTTCTACCTGGGGTTAGAGGAAGAGAGCTCCTCCACTCCGAAGCCTCCTGTTTCTAAGAAGCAGGGCCAAAATGGTTTAAATAGTATTTGTTTAAATTTGCAATGTTTATAAACTAACAAAAATTATCCCCCTTTTTGTGATTTAGATTTGATCCAACTGACTGAAAATATTGGAACTTAATTGTGTGTGTGCAAGTGTGTGTGTGTAGTGCAAAGTTACTTCTGAACACCCAGCTTTCCTTCCTACTTTCTGAGAATCCACACCATCTGCAGAGTGGTCAAGGGTCCCTTGGAGGTGCATCACTTGACCTTTTTCCATAGAAGACCAGCCATTCAGTACCTGCTGGATTTGGATCAGTGTCCCCAAAGGTCTGTGTACTGAAGGCTTAGTGACCAGCCTGTGGCACTGTAGGGTGATGGTTAAGTTTAGGAGGCAGGGCCTAAGGGGAAGAAGTGTCCTTAAAGTAAAAACTGGGACCACAACCCCTTCCCCTGTCTCTTTGCTTCCCAGATTCCTTTAGATTAAGAGACCTCCTCCACCACACACTTCCACTGTGCTGTTCTGTGCTGCATAGGCTCCATGCAAGAGGGCCAAGTGACCACGGGCTGAAGTCTCTGAAGCCTTTAAGCCAAAATAAACCTTTCACCTCATTGAGTTGATTATCTCAGGTATGTTGTTATAGCAACACAAAGCTGACTAACCTTTGTCAGTTTATATTTTGAGTCAATCACCTGGGTCTGGTGACCATCACAAAGAAATTGTTTGGCCCAGTTATTTTAGACTGTGGCCTCAGAGCTGCCAAAGCAAAAGATTTTCTCTCTAACGGCCTTCATCCCTTTGCATCCAGTCCAAACAACTTTTACAAATAAGAGTGTAAGATGACCTTTTAATAGAGGATTGGCAGAAAAAAGGAAAGACTGACTCAGACTCGTGTCTTCTGGCTTACTCACAGAGTCAGAGAGCTGTGCTGGGGTAAAGTGAGAGTATGGAGCTGAAATGTTCCTGAGAAGCTGTTGGTATAATGACAAAGGTAGAAGAAGTAACTTATATAAAGGGAAAAAAGAATTTAAAATAATTTATATCAAATTTTAATAAAGACCAGGTTAAGATAATGGCAATTTTTAAAACTTCAAATAAAGTGGTTACTTTTACAACTAACATGATCTTCATTTAACACCACATGTTCTAAAATTCTGATGGCAGTAAATGCATGCAAAGATGCCTGACATTATTAGATATTATGAAAAACAAAACCACAAAATTACTAATACTTTCCAGAATGACTAAAAACAAACAATACCAATCACTGCAGAGGATGAGGGGCAGCTAGACACCTCACACATGGCTGACCAGAACAGGAAGTGTCCAGCCACTTTGGAAAACAATTTGACAGTTTCATGTGAAGTGAAACAGACACTCATCACATGACCCCTGTAATTATACTCCTAAATTTCCACCCCACTGAGATTAATATTTGTCTAAAGACCTACATGTAAACATGCATAGCAGCTGTATCATCACCCCAAACTCGACATTGTTCAAAAGGCAAATGGAAAAACATAGTAGTATATCTCTGCATTGGGATACTATGCTGCAATGAAAAGAAACAAACCACTGATAAATGCAACAAGGCAGGTGAATCACATCATGCTAAGTGAAAGAAGTCAAACACTAAGGTTATTAAACTTACATTATCAGTCTGGAAAGGCAAAACTACAGGGACAGAATCAGATTCACAGCTACCAGGAGCTGGATGGAGGTGGAAAGCAGTACACTTACTGCAAAGAGATATGAAGAAATTTGGAGCCGAGAAGTGATGGAAATAATCTTATTTTGATCATGGCAGTGCTTAAAGGATTAAGTATATCTATCATCAAAACTTGTCAAACTATATTTTGGAAAAAGATTTTAGCCTATCAGACTTGACTTTAAAAATTAACTCTTTAGGGGCTGGGGATTTAGCTCAGCGGCAAAAGCGCCTGCCTGACAAGCGCAAGGTCGTGAGTTCGGTTCCCGGTACCAGAGAAAAACCAAAAAAAAAAAAAAAAAAAAAAAAAAAAAAAAATTAGCTCTTTAGCACCAAAAGCATAGACAACAAAAGTAAAAGGAGATAAATTAAAATATATCAAAATTTAAAACATCCACAAATCAAAGGACACAACAGAGTGAAAAGGGACCTAGAGAATGGAAGAAAAATATTTGTAAATTCTGTGTCTGATAAGTTGTTAATATCTAGAATATATAGGCTACTACAACTCAACAACAACCACAATGGCACACACCACCCACAAGAATTGGAAAATTATTTCTTAGACATTTCTCCAAAGACACACAGATGGCCCACAAGAACATGAAGAAATGCTCAACATCACTATTATAGACATCAAAATCATAATGTGGTATAATTCATACCCCTTAGAATGGCTACTATGAAATGAAAGAAAACAGAAATAAGTGTTGGTGAGAATGTGGAGAAATTGAAACTCTTATGCACTGTTAGTGGAAATGCAAAATGGTGCAGTTGCTATGGAAAACAGTATGAAGGTTCCTTTAAAAAAATTAAAAATAGAATCAGCATATGTCCAGTAATTCCAGTGCTGGATGTATATACCCAAAATAATGCAGAGTTTGCAAGAGATCTGTGTACACTCATGCTCAGGCCAACAAGGTCCACAATAGCCAAAAGTGGGAAGTAACTCAAGTGCCCATAGACAGATGAGTGGTTGAATAAATACAGCATATGCATGCAATGGAAATATACTCAGTCTTAACAAGAAGGGAATTCTGCCATAGGATGCAACACTGATGAACCTGGAAGACATCGTGCTAAGTAAAATAAGCTGGTCACAAAAAGACAGTGTACCACTTACATGAGGCTCTTAGAGTAGTCAAAAATCATAGACACAGAAAGTGAAATGGTGACTCCGAGGGGCTGGTGGGGAGGAAAGGATGAGAGGCCGTTGAATGCATGAACGCACAGGATTTCTGCTTTGCAGGATAAAAGGGTTCTGGACACAGCGCGAACGTACTTAACACTCCTGAGCTGTTCATTTTAAAAGGCTCAAAATGGTAAATTTTGTACTATGTGTAATTTTATCACAGTGTTTTAGAAAGTTCCTCTGTTACAGAACAACAATACAGTTCTGGCTCTGGCCCTGCCACTCTGCAGCTGCATGACATTGGAAAGTCTCTTTCCCTTTCTAAACCTCAGCTTCCTTCAGCGAAACAGGGTTAGTAATTCTCAGTAACAATTTTAAGGGCTAAAGCGTATGGAAACACTTTTGTTTCTCCCTATACAAAAAGTCAGCTGTTGAAGAAAATGATGGCTAGGGGTGTCAACAGAGCCACTGAAGTTGGTAAAACTAGTTAGTGTTAGTCAGAGGTGCACAGTTAAAATTAAGGCCTCCCAGCCCTCTGAAGCCAAGCCCCGCCTCTTTGAGCAAGAGTTCTTAAACTCTTGAACCAGTGTCCAAGTTCATCCACCCTGAAGGTATCAAGAGGGAATATCTTGCGCACATTGGTCCTCACCGAGCCTGGTGGGCGTTGGTTTTTCTTTCTTTCTCGTAATACACGATGCTCACATTCAGTGGAGAGAGTTGGCACATGTACATAATACATTTTAATTATTTTCTCGGTGTCTGCCTTTACCCCCAAGCACTCACCTGATGAAGGTGGGGTACAGCTCTGTGTTCACCAGGCAGATCATTTGGAGCACAATCGTGGTTCCCAGCCGGCCCACACAAGCCACCATGGTATGTAGCCAGCGCAGATCTGCAGAGGGGCACTAGGATAGTGACCACGGGGATGGGACCTTTCTCCCCAAGGCACAGTGGGAAGCACTGAGGGCTGTGCTTGGCCAACCAGAGCTGGAAGGGCCTAACAGCTTTTCCTCTCTAACTCTTTCTTTTCTGGATAAGCAAACTGTGTCCAGTTAGATTTGGGGCACTGGTAAGGCTCCTTGTGCAGAGGAGAGAATAAGCTTTGGTGGGGGTGGTACTGGAGATGGAACCCAAGGCCTTTGCGCTGAGCTGCACGCCCCATCCTGTTATATTCTTTGAGACATTCTCACTAAGTCTCTAAGTTGCACAAGCTGGGCTCAAACTTCCATCCTCCCGCCTCAGCCTCTCGGGAAAAAAAGAACTTTTTAAATCTCTGCTCTGCCTCCTGCCAGCTGTATAGTCATAGAGAAGATGTCTACTTCTTTGTGCCTTGGCTTGCTAAACTTTTAAATGGAAATAATCATACCCAGCTTATAGGCTGTTGTGACACTTAGAAACGATATGTGCCCAAAACCCCCTAGATCACAGACTTTAAAAGCTGGTGTTTTAATTATGATACAATTGTGTCATTTCCAGCACAGTGCCTGAAACATAGGAGGTAAGATAACATGCACAGCTCTCTTCTGCAGTAGTCCTTGAACTAAACCTTAATTTAGTGTTCATTTCCAACAAAACATCAGAGCCTCGGAGAGGGAGGACCAGGAAGTGAGCCCCTCAACAGGCTATTGTGAGGGTCTTATCTAATGGAGGGCCAGGCAGCCCTATCCCTGCGGGCAGGCTGGAAGGAATGAGTGACAGTAGCAGACTGTGAGAAAGACTGGGGCCAGGGCTGCAGTGTGTGCAGGAGCAGTGTGGAGTGCTGGAGAATGCCTGAGCTCCACCAGCAAGAGCCCCCGACTCAGCCCTTGGCACCCTCCTTCCCAGCATCAGTGCTGTTATTTTCTGAAGTCTTCCCTTTGTGACATCTTCCCCAGGAGTCCAGAGACAGGAGATGGAGGACAAAATAAGGAAAATCCATTCCAGAACAATGTTGCCCTCTTCCTCCCCGATTGAGCTTTTTTGTCTCTGCACCCAGTTTATTTCCAGCCCAGCTCTGGAGAACACAGATATCCCAGGACATTTACCACAGTCCCTTGCACAGATACCTGCCAAAATGATTCATTAAGACACCAAGCAAAAAGCCCAAGTTATAAAAAAGAGAATATAGCAAGTCTGCCCAGTGTTTGTTAAACATTTCCAAAGGCAACAAGAGTGAAAGTCAATTATGTACCCAAATAAAAACTAACAAAAGGGAATCTGCTTTAATGTTACACATAGCTTGGACTCTCTTGGTTATAAGAATTACAGGCTGGCCTACTAAGCATTGATGAGGCCATAGGAATATTCATGTGCCACTGGAAAATGGGGGTACAAAACAGCCCAGTTCTTTTGGGAAAACCATCAGGCAGTGTCTACTGACACTAAACCTTTAAAAAATTAAATTAAGTTAAAAAATAAAGCCAAACTTATGTCACCCCAGGACCCAGCAAGCACACTCATGCTTAGGTACGCAAGGGAAGCAAGAATGTGTGGCCAACAAAAATACACACCGGATGTTACCCACAGCTTCACTCCTGGTGATAAACTCCAGGAACATCACAAGGGACAATGCAACGAAATGAGCACACGGTGATATTCAGTTCACTGGAGGCTGCACAATAATTTTTTTTTAAAGGAAAAAGCTTCATTCCCACTTGACAGTGTATGAAAACTTCACAGGTATAATGATGAAAGACAAAAAGAAAGAGGACATTTGGTGCGGCTCCATTTATGTGCAGTTCAGGAGCAAGCAGAACTGATTCTTGGGAACAGAGGAGCTGTGGTTGGAGGCGGGTATCAGTTTTGAAGGGGACATCTGAGGTACTGGAGCTGCCTCATGCTATCTAAGTAGTTACATGTGTCAAAACTTATTGAGTCAGACACTCATAACTTTCTATGCTGATTGTACCTCAGTTTAAAGTTTTAAATAGCCAGACATGGCGCTGCACACCTGTAATCACAGCACTCTGGGGGTCTGAGGCAGGAGTATTAAAAGTTCAAGCTCAGCCAGGACAACTTAGCAACTTAGCCACACCCTCTCTCAAAATAAAAAAAATTTCAAAACAGAGGGCTGAGGATATAGTTTAGTGTGAAGACTCTGGGTTCAGTCCTCAGTACTGAAAAAAAAATTGTAAACAAAGTTGACACTACGCCTTTGTTCTTGTTCCAAAAGCTTATCTACGAAAACTGAAAGGAGTTACTACACTTTTTCCGCAATTCAGTTTCCTGGAAAATGATGAAAATGGATAACTCACCATGTGGAATAAAAATCATGATTAAACACGCTGCTCCTGCCACCAGATGGGACACAGCTAGTGGACAGATGCGGCCAACTCGGTCAATGGTGACAAGGATGATGAAGGCCGCAGGGAATTCAACCAGAGAGGAGTAAAAGAAATCCAGGTAGTGGTTCTCGCCGGTGGCCCCAACGTGCATAATGAGACCCTGGTAGAGCACAGCGCAGGAGAACCTGAGCCAGGAGGAGAATGTGTGTCAGAGGCCAGCTGGGGGCGAGGTGGGGGGCTGGGTGCAGAACCAGAAGTGACAGATACGCAATGTCCTAGAGCCAAACAAAAGGGGAGTGGCTAAGAATCAGGAATTAGGTCCTAAGAGGGGCCTTGATGAGAAATTTCTTCCACCACAGTGGTGAGAGTATGCCTCAGAGGACAACTCCAGAGAATCCCAGAGTTGAAAAACAAGGTTGCTACCGTTCACTGCACACTTAGTGTCAGGCACTTGGCAGAAGCTCCTCTACATGCTGAGGCAGGATAGCAAGTTCCAGCCCAGCCAGGGCCACTTAAGGAAGCCCTGTCTCACAATGATAAGGAGGTAAGCAGGAGAAAGCAGTAGATGAGCAGGATTAGGTGTCAGGCTACTTTCTAAACACAGTGTGACCTTCAGGAAGTTACCTAGCCTCTCTGTAGACCTTACTTCTCTCATCTGTAACTGAGATAATAATAGTACATACCACACTGTTGGTCTTAAGCATTCATTGTGCCTATTATGGTTCCCAGCGCACAGTATGCACTCAGTAAAGATTAGCTTGTACGGACTTCATCATCATCACTTCTGCAGAGCACAACAGAATGAGGTGTTGGCCATTTCTCTGACCTTATGGTGGTGCCCTCTACCGTACAACTAGAACTATTCACTTACTTTCTTCTTTCATTGCACCAGCCTCCATTTGAGGAGAGCATAGCAATGTTACAGAATATGGCACACACACACACCCAAATCACTCTCAGTCAAGTAACAAAATGCTGGGTTTGGTGGTGCATGTCTGTGACCCCAACACTCTGGGAGGCTGAGACAGGAGGATAGCAAGTGCCAGCCCAGCCAGGGAAACTTAGCAAAGCCCAGTCTCAAAATAATAAAGGGGTGGAGATAAGGATGTACCTCATTGTGAAGCCCCTAGGTTTAATCCCCAATAATACAAAAACAAATTTTAGAGGTTCCTGGACTGATGGTGTAACTTCCCTAGCATGCATAGGTCCTGCATTCAATTCTTAGCACTGCCAGAAAAAAAGAGAGTCCTGTATATCTGGGGACAGCAGTGCACAGAGATACCATGTTGGAGGTTCCTGCAGGAATGTGGGCTGGAGAAATCACCCGACAGGAAACTAAGTGTGCATGATGAGAAGCAGCAGATTCTGAGACATTTTCAAGACTGAGCTGACATTCAGAGAAGGAAAACAAGCCCTACAATAAGGCAAGCAACCATTCCTCTTTGCAGCAGTGGCCCCAGATCCTCCATGGAGATGTTGCTGGGCCCAACAGAGTGTCAATAGAAAAGCACCAGCTGCATGGAGGGTTCGCAAAGGGTCATCCTGTGGCAGAGCACAGGACCATGGCGCAGACACAGACATGGGGTGGGGAACTGGTGAGGCAGGACCGCGCACAGAAAGCCTGATCTCTAAAGAACTTAGGTTCTGTGGAACAGTGGTTATTCATTCAACTGTCAGCAAATATTTACTGAGGGTCTACTCTGTGTTGCGCATCACGCTCCTAGTTCAACTCTGTTCTAATAACCCTTATGTGCTGGCATACACACTGTCACTGGGAAGCAGATCTGAGATCCCTGGGGAAAGCCCAGGGTCCCCCCAAATACGGAGCTGCCAAAGCCATTGGGTCTGGGACAGTCATTTCAGAATAGCTTTATTTTGATGACACAGCCTATATGGAGAAGTTGACCCACTGTCCTGAGGGAATAGGACAGGGATTCTCTAGGAGGGCGCAGACCCATGGGATGGGCAAGGGTATAAGTGAATCCACCCTACGCAGGAGGTTTCCAGTCAACAGATCAAGGATACACAGATACTGCCAGTGGTTCCATCTTTGGGATTAAGAAAGGAGATACTGGGGGCAGTAAGTCAAGCCACGGCTCTTTCCAACCCTGTTATTATTGACCTTTCACAGGTAAAAAACAAGTTCTGAAATGAGCTTTTCCCCAGTATTCTATCCTCCAAGGAGAAATAAGATTTTTTAGCACTCCTTGAGCACAGGACCAATAACAGTACTAAAATTCCTCTTCAATTGTGGACTTTGATTTGCACCCATGTTTGGCAGTACATGGGCCTAGCATATGCCAGTGCTCAGGGAGGAGCCCCTCATCACGGGTAGATGGGAACCAAGGTGTGGGAGCATTTAGGATGGGTACATGGGGAGGAAGGCTTGGGGGCATGCAGGGAAGGTCCCTCACCACAGGTACATCAGGATCAAGGTGTGCTTCCGCAGGGCTGGCGAGCAGAACAGATCCACAAATGACGGGCTCAGCTTTTCCCTCACGTCCTCCTCGACAGAGAGCATCTGAGAGGGAGTCAGATCAGCACCTCACCCAACTGTGGAGGACAGTCCCTTGGAGAGGAGCCCCAGGTGGGCCATGACCTCCACTAGGCTTCACAGCCACAGGTGAGCAGGGCTCCACTGTTCTAGCGCCAGTCCTTGAGACAGTTCCAAATCACATACCCAGCTCTGAAATACCCAGCCCCAACCCATGACTGGAGGACCATACCCAGCCCCAGCCCATGACTGGAGGACCCCTGGCCTGTCTCTCTTACCTTTAAATCAGCAGAAGGCAGTTTCCCATTCTTCTGGGCGATGTAGTCCATGACCTTCACTGCTTGAGTGTTTCTCTTCTGTGACAACAACCATCGGGGTGACTCAGGAACACACCTGTGGACAAAGCTCATCACCAGCGGGCATCTTCCCCAGAGATCATCTGACAGCAACCCTGACCGGGGCTTGCTAGTGCCGAGCCTGGGACTTACTCCTCAAGCGGATGGTGAACAAGGTCCAGGTCTATTGTGACCTGGCCTCAGAGCCCTCACAAATACTCTCTGAGCACTTGTGCTCAGGGCCACCCGTTAAGCCTTATAGAGGAGAGGAAAATACAGCTTCCCATGCTGTCTTCTTTCTATGGAACAGGAGCCCATCTTTCCTGAAAGGTGGCAGCCCCTGTCTCCCTGAGAATACACACGGAGTAGGTGCTCCAGGTACCATCCACCATTCTCACAACATCCCCCAAGCAAAATATAATATATTCACTTTCCTTTCAAATCAGACACAGTGGGTGCCCAGTCAATCCTGGTGTGGGCTTGGCCCTCACCAGGCTTTGAGCTAATCCTGTCAACAGAAAAGCAGAAGGGGAGTCGAATGATGATGACGACTATCTGCCAAGAAATTGGAAAATTCAAAGGGAGGAAGGAGAATCAGCCTAGACCAACATGAGGGCTATGGCACACATTTCCTTCACTGATGAGGTACAGAATTCACTCAGTTCCTCTGGAGTAAACAGCCTTGGTCCCATGCCTCTGAGAGTGAGCTGAACGCTGGATACTACAAGCTTGGAAGAATAAGAATCTGAGCTTTCAGACTCCAAAAGTAATGAAATGAGGTTGAGTAAAATCAGACACCACGCTGTCTATTTCAAATGAGGCAAGGATTTTGCAACTTAGAGACTGGGACTTTGGCACAAGCATCTTCTGTAAACTCAGACTTAGCCTGATGTCCTTTCTTCAGGAGGTCCCTCTGTTTCACAGGGAGGGGCGAGCTTCTCCTGAACTTCCAGGCGTAAATATGCACATTCAGAGGCTGGCTTTCCTTTAGAGAGCCCAAGTCTACCCTAGGGTCACCTCAGATAATGTTTGCCCCAGTATAATTCTGGCAAAAGGTGCATGAATAAGATATTTCTCTCTGCTGCTGCCTCTTCTCTCCACAATAAAATTTATTCGTGGAGTTGCTTATCCCTTCAAACTCTGCAAAGAGCTCACAGTTATTAAGATGAACATCCCAGTTGGATGGTTCTGTTCCATAATGGCTCCATGTGCATAATCTCTAGGGAATATAAGAAGCCCTTTCATTCATAAATTCACTCAGTCAAGTACCAAATACATGGCTAAATGAGAGATATATCTGAGTTTTGTTAATAATAGCAATATTATCTTAAAAATGAACTGGGAGGAGAAAAGGCAGAAGAGAGAGTGAAGAGCAGGAGAGAATTAAGTAGGCTGCAAAGTGAGAATATCCGACTTTATGTTTTCAGCACTAGGGAGACCCTAGGGAGGGTAGGAACTGGTGGCCAGTGTGGTACAACAACCCCTCTTGAACCTCTTCCCTGTACTAGACACTTTACATAGATTATCTCTAAGATTTCCCAAGGCAACACCTAGGAAGCTGCTTCCTGTACCCAAACGTGAGACTACCCACCACAGCCCGTCTGTTTCTGGAAAATGCACATTTCAGGCTTTGGGATGGACAGCCAGCTCCTGTGATTCATGGGGTTTTGTCCAACTTATAGCAAAACTTGTGTCTAGGCAGGGCGGCACACGTGAATCTGAACAGGTTGTGTCTGAGGATGCTCCCCACATCAGAAGGTCTCTGGGCAACATCAGAATGGCCCAGTGGCAGGCATAGCTTTGGAAGCAGCTCTGTGCCGCATGTGTGTGCATGCCAAGGCTCCTTGAGGTGGCTTTTGTGGGGCACAGGTCCCACCCCCTCCCACTGAGCCTGGTCCCATGAATGGCAAGCAGGGAGCAAGATAGCATTACCAGTAGTAGAGCAGGAAAAGGAAGGTGGGCAGGGACACAGCCAGCTGGAGCCAGCGCCAGTATGGAATGGCATACGCCAACCCAGGGAGCCCCACCAGGCCCACCGTGAAGGCCACCTGGTACAAGATCGCCACCGTCCTTCTGTAGCCTGAGCCAACGAATTCTGTGACTGAAACAGAAACATAGTCACCATGCACCTCCCAGCAGATGTGAGGTCCAGGAAAGGATGCTCATCCATCTGTCCTCCGTTCCCACCACAGCCCAGCACTTCTCCCATGCAGCCTCCATTTCTCCCACAGACCACACCTCTCACCATCTGGCTCCCTCATTGAAGACACAGGAGGCCTCACATTCTGACAGATGGCAGGCAGGCCATGTAATGGACACATTGGGTGATCAAAAAGTACGGTAAATGCTTAAATTAAAAACTATAGCAAAAGACACAATACCAAGGATAAGTATTTTTCTCAAGCCAACACCTAGGAAGCTGCTTCCTGTACCCAGATGTGAGACTACCCACCACAGCCCGTCTGTTTCTGGAAAATGCACATTTCAGGCTTCAAGATAAGTATGTTCAAAGCCAGGGGGACTATTTTGAGTATTCCGAGGGAAACTAATGGCAATGTCTTTTATTGTAATAAATTCCTTAATTTAAACATTGTCCGTGTGTTGTGATCACCCTGCACTGAGTAACCATTTACAGTAACTTCTGTTAAATAAAAACGTTATGGTGTATCCTCATCCACCTCAGTCACTTAATCTGATAACATGTGACTTCTAACTCTTTTCCAAAACCAAAATGACTGTGAAAGATAAATGTTTTGAATCAATTCAGGACATCAAGGGAGCTAGGACAGCACAACTAAAGATGCCTGTGAAATAGGACCTCCAGAACTGCTTCATAAAGTGGCAAGAATGCTGGGATAAGTGCGTTCAAAGGGAGGGGGAGTATTTCAAGGAGGATTAATGGCAATGTGTGTTTTACTGTAATAAGGTTTTAAATTTAAACAGCCACCATAGTTATTGATCATACCTTATAAATCACATCCTAAGTTAAAATGTGCTCCATTCTGTCGGGGAACCAAAGCTCAGATCAGGTAGGGAAATCAAGTATATGGTGGGGAGAGGGATTGTAGTTCTACACAGGGTTGATGGAGCAAAGGGATAGAATGGAGCAAAGATTAAGGAGTCAGGGAGTCAGCCCTCCGGGTGACAGGAGAGCTGTGTTCCAGGTAGGGGATCATGAGGAGGCCCATGTGGCCAGAGGGGTGGAGTGCGAAGGCAGGTGAGTGGAGCTGAGTTCACAGGCACAACAGGGACATGACCCTGTAGGGATTCAAGGGCGTTGTGAAAACTGTTTTCCCACATATGAAACAGAGCCACTGTGGGCATAGGAGAGGTACCTGCCACTTTCTGCTTCCAAAGTCTCACTTTACTGCAGAGTCAAAACCCCCACTTCAGATGCACCTGAAAGGCCTGTTTGGGGGTGAAGCAATGATAGGGGCTTGGACCAGCAGAAGTCATGGCAAGGATGGGATTCTGTGTTTGGAAAATAACACTAAGAGCAGGAAGTTGATGGATTGGTGATTGGATGGATTGATGGAGTGATAGATTGATGACTGGATGGATTGGTGACTGATGGATTGATGGAGTGATGGATTGATGATTGGATGGACTGGTGATTGGATGGATTGATGGAGTGATAGATTGATGACTGGATGGATTGGTGACTGATGGATTGATGGAGTGATGGATTGATGATTGGATGGACTGGTGATTGGATGGATTGATGGAGTGATGGATTGATGATTGGATGGATTGATGGAGTGATGCATTGGCAGAGTGTGTGGATTGGTAACTGATGGATTGCAGACAGGGTGTAAAGGAAAGGGCTGGAGGTGACATCAATTTCAATATGCTCAGCCTGAACAGCTGACAGAGGGCTCTGTCCTCATCTGGGCTCTGCGGTGGAACAGGTTTCTCGTTTCTCAAGGCAGGAACATGGTTTCCCTCAGCCCTTGTAAACTATTCTCAGAGAGCCAAGTGATAGGACACTGTTTTCAGAAATGACCAGTAAGGTGTTTCTTTTCTATTCTCAAAATCCAGAAAGATAACTTCTCCCTGCTCTGACAGGCCCTGTTTGTGGACTGGGGAAAGTACACATAACTGTGTTGTACTACTTTTCTCCAGGAAGGGAGTTTTTGGACCTTTGATTCTTTCCCTCCATAGAGTATGTGAAAAAAGAAAAAAAAAAAGACTAATACATAGGCTATCCACATTGGTTTACACCTCAACTTTTTAAAAAACCATGATGTCTCTTTTCTTATTTGCACATTTGTTCTGTCTTCTCATTGCCTTAGTCATGCACATACAATTAGCTATTGCCTTTTCTATTCTCTTTTCTTTCTCTTCTTCCTTTCTTCCTTCTTTCTTTCTTTCCTGGTATAAGGGTTAAATCCAGGACTTTTGCACTGAGCTACACCCCTAACCCTTTGTACTTTTTTATTTTAAGACAGAGGCTCGCTAACTTATTAAGTTGCCCATGCTAGGCTCAAACTTGTGATCCTCCTGCCTCAGCTTCCCAGAGAGCCAGGTTTACAGATGTGTGCCACCATACATGACTAACTATCCCCATTTCTGTAGACACTGCAAAACTCCCTGACCCTCAAAGCCTCACTTCCATATTCAGCTTGTCCCCTCTGACTGCACCATCTGACCTCTGTCCTGCATTCATCCAGGAAACCTCAACCCCATGTGTAATTACTCAGGGTGTAGCCAGACATCCAGCTGCCCTTGCTGACCATTCCCTGCACCAGGCGGAAGAAAAGCATGGATGTGTAGTCTGGAGCCACTGCCGTCAGCACACCCGTCACAGCAGTGACCAGGGAGGTCCCCAGGAGACACAGCTTACGGCCAAACCTACAGAGAAAAGGAGATAAGAGCAGGGAGTGGGGGTCAAATAGGCACATCTTCACTGGTCCCTGACGCCACTGGCATGTGGGTGCGAGGCTACTGCACCGCATCTCCAAACAGAAACCCTGCTTCCTCCAAAGTTGCCCATGTATTGGTGATTGGATGGATTGGTTATTGGATTGGTGATTGGATGGACTGGTGATTGGATGGATTGATGGGATGATACATTGATGATTGGCACTAACTTCCCCACAAACAGCTGTGACACAAACTGCTCCCACCCCATGTGTCCCTTTTCAAAATGACTCTGTTCCACAAACTGTGGTTTTACCCCTCAGTTTCTGTGCCCACCCCACTGTGCAGTCTGTGTTTTCTACCTGTCTCTGCCCTGCACCCCACAGCAGTCGCAACAGTGACTAACATGTCTCACCTCCACCACCCGCCGCAATGAATCCTCACCCACGTATTCTCCACCCTTGACCCATAGCCAGTGGTCCTCAAGCACGGAAGGTGTGTTTTACTGGCCCGGCTTTCACATACCTGTCTGCGATGTATCCAATGCCCAGGGAGCCAAGGAAGAAGCCCAAGTTCACACAGGACTGGAAGAGGTCCACCTTCCAGGCATCTGCACACACCAAGTTAAACTGCCAGCCACAGCATGGCAGGAAGGGCAGGAACACAGACCGTGTATTAGCAGGGACCCTCGGCTTCTATCCTCCCTCGGATAAGGCAAACACTTGACATAAAACTTGTCTCTCCTGGCAGTTTCACCTACTCTTATTACATTTTCCTAAGACACAGTTTAAGATTGCTGGTGACTCTGAGGAAATAGAAACATATGTTTAACACCTTTGTGTCACCCTCCTTATGTATTTATTTAAGCAGCTGGTCAAGTGCTTTGTCACTGACACCTGGCCGTCAAAGGAAGAAATGTCTTTGGTGAAGGGAGCAAGAAGGCAGACAAATCTTCTCTAAGGAGACACAGCTGCCAGGCAAGTTATCTAAAACCAAACACAGCCAAAAATGAATGCAGGCAAAGAACAATAACATGTTCTCGAGGGCTGGTCAAAAGCCCTTCATTAATTACATATTACTTGTTGTGTATTTTATTAAATAAATTTCACCAAACATTGGAAACCGTATGTCATGACTGGTAGAGCTATGAGTGCCAAAGGCAGAGGAAACGCGACAGAGGGGGCATCTTGGGGATGGCTGGCCCTCCAGCAGCATGGCCTGAGAGACAGGAAGAGATTCAGGGGTCCCTGGTGCCAAGAGCCAGGAGACGGAGGGGTCCTAGGGAGGAGACACAGGGGAAGAGAAGGGCACAGGCAGTGAGAGCAGGGCCTATTTGCTTTGGGGTTGGGACAGCAGAGGCCTGGAGGAAGACAAGCAGGCTCCTCGGGCTTCCCTGGCCCAAAGCACAGGGTGACACCAGCGCATGCCCAGGCACACTGCAAGACCTGTGCCTCACATGAGCAGTTCTGCAGAGCTGAGTGAGGCAGACAGAAGACTACAGGAAGACAAAAGTGTGGGCAGGCTGGAGCCAAGGCCTCTTGACCCTCCCCATTTTTGGCATAGCCCATCCTGGGCCTCCTTTCCTTCCTTTCTCTCTGCACTGCTCTCTTTGCTTTGGGTTCATGGCTCCACCTAACCAGGAGGACACCATCAGCAAGTCACTTTGCAAGTTTAGGCTTCAGATTCCTTGCCTGGCACATGGATACTATGCCTGCCCTGTCACACTCCAGAGCTGGTGTAAGCACTGAAGGCGAGAAATCATGTGAAGTCGATTTTGCTGAATAATGAACCATTTGACTTTAAAAGCTGAGGATGAGGACCCTACCCCACATCCCTAAAGCTGCCAGTTTGAGCCTTGCCCTTGTTCTGGTGTGGAGGTTCAAATCTCTGCAGCCTCTGAGACTGACCTCGGTCAGCTCCTCAGCAGGAGTGCCTTGTCTTTCTGAAACACTGAGGAGTGGCTGCATTACCACGAATGTTCAGGAACAAATAGAAGCCTCCCCGCCAACTGTCTTGAGCCCAGACCCCACTTCCCACCCCTGGGCGGTGGCCAGCTACTTCTCGAGTCACTCTGATTCTCTCCAACAATCCCAAAGTTCATTTCCTGTAAAATTCAGCTTGTGCTGCCAGGCCACCACTCAGCAAGCCCCTGGGTAGCCCGTAGACCCATGGCTCTCCTGCCTGTGCTGTGCCCTGCTACTGGGACATGTGCGGACAGGCCATTCCAGGTGTTTTCTGGCTGTCCCAAGGTCTCTCTCTCCAATTGTCTCTGTGCAGTGTCCTCACGTCACCCAGGACAATATCCTGCACATCACCGAAGTCACTGGGCCTCAGCTCATCCCCTTCTTCACTGTTCTTTCAGTTTCTCATTCCAGTCTTTCAAGTCAGGGTCACCATGTATTGTTCTGCCCTTTCCTGTGAGGCCCAGGTTGCCACCTTGTCTGGGAACGGTGTATGGAGCTGGACAGCTCTCTGACCTGGAGGACATGCATCTCATTTCCACCTCGCTTTCCCCTTTTACCATCTATGGAGGACTAACTGTGGCCCCGCATGGCTTGCAACCCTGCTGTGCCTTCTTGATCCCAAATTCAGCCCAGCTACTACCCCGGGTAGAGAGTATACTCTGAGAAAATAGGCTTGTCCCCACAGACAAGGGGAGGGTAGGGGTTCCCTGGGCTCACTTACTGCTTCTGCTAGGATTTCACCAGGGCTGAGGCAATTCTTTCCAGCCCAGTATGTGAAGCAATAGGACCAACGGTTGCCAAATTGCCTCCTCCCAACAATCACCCAGAGCCCTTGTTCAATATCTGTTCTCAGTGGATTCTGCCTTGGGAGGTCATAAATGGGAATGCAAGTGATCCCTAGGACCAGGCAAGTTTGGAAAAAATGGACATGATCACCTTCTCACCGCTGCCTGGGACCTCTCCCTCTTGCTCAGCACTCACAGAGGACAGAAATCCGTGGCTCCCTAGCCTGGTATGGGGCTGTGGCTGAAGCCATGGCAGTCAGAGCAGGGTCTCTACATGAGGGGAGTCAAAACCCTTCAAGCATCACTTCTTCCACAGGGGGCTTCATGATTCCAGTCACTAAGCCTTGGAGAGGGGGGTTAAACTTGGTGTTGAAACAAGGGCCATCCTAAAGCAAGTTCCAATGTCCAAGGCAATGTTGGTTAAAAATTAGTTTTGCAGAAATAAATAACCACATTCATTCTCCAATAGTAAACTTCAGTTTAGGGAAAGGCATAGGGCAAAGGCAGTTTGGAAGCAGTTAGAAGGGAGAATTAAAGTGCAAGATAACATCTGTCTGGGAGCTGCCTTTTACTGCCCTCCCACCCCACCTCACCCCATGCTTCTGTTTACCTCTGAGCATTTCCAAGTCCATCCACTGCCTCCAAACTCAACACAGCCAGAGGAAGCTTTTTCTTCTAGAACCCTCTGCCCCCTCACTAGGCCTGCCAAGAATGGTTCCAAGATTCCCAAAACCCTCAATGAGGTACTAGTTCTTGGGGTCGTTTGTTTCTAGGCAGTGCCTTCTAAAACACCTCTCCCCTATTATATGTGTCCCATCTTTTCCATTTCTCTTGCCACAGGCCACCGCCTCCCCACATCTCCAGGCTGCTACTTCTCCTGGGTCCCCAGCCAGTGCTCATTAGCTCCCTTTGCCGGTGCTCCCCCAAGCAAGAATTCTTAGCCAAACTGGGCCCTCTTTCTCCCTAACCCATGCAATATCTGTACCTCTTAATCGTGATGCCTTTGTTCCCATGATGACCATGGAGATTGACACTTCTCACCTAGTCTCGCTTCTTGACCTCCTCATGCATTTTCTTTTTTTTTAACCTCTTGTGAAGCCTCTATTGCCACCACCATCCTGTTTCTGGACCATCCACGGGGCCCAGTTAGAATTGCCCTGCTCCTCTGACTGGATAAGACCAAACTTTCATGTGGCAGTAAGGTAGGTTGCCACATTTAGTAAATAAAAATATAAAGCACCCATGTAAATCCGAATTTCAGACAAACGACTTCTAGAGTAAGCACATCCCCATGCAATATTTGTATTCCTCAAGTCAAGCCCAGTGGTCAACACATAACATCACACAATATCTGGGACATAACTATCTTTCTAAAATTGTATTTTCTGAAATTCAAATTGAGCTGGGGATCCTGTTCTTTATCTGGTGACCATAAGGATTCCATATTTTGACCCCAAGGTGAGAGATCACCAACATTCTCCTCCCCTGTGACTCCTCAACAGGTCTCTGAATATGAATCATTTTATCAGCTCCTGACAATAGCAAAAGCTCACTCTCCCTGACTTTGGGCCTGGACCTGAGATTTAATCCCCCTCCTCATCTGTTCTCTCCCCTTTCTGGTCAAAGTACATGCAAGCTTCACTTCAAATGCGCCTCCTCCAGGAAGACACCCATGAGGGCTCATTTGAAAGCTGCCCCTCCGAGCTCTGCTCACAGCCTCACCACATGGCTTCAGGCTGCCATTAAATGAATTCTGCTCGCTCTATCATCGTACTTCCTCTCTAACTGCAAGACTGAAGACTCTTGGAGGGGACTTGGAAGCCTTTTGCTCTGTCCCCTCACAGTATCACCCCTAGTGCTAGGGCGGAGGAGACGCTGGGACCTCCTTAAGGAACGCATGGATAGGTGACTAGATGGGTGAATGGTTACCTCAGATCATTTCAAACAGAGGCTCTCTCATTCCCAGAGAACAAGTACCCTCAAGCTTGGCCCACATCCAGATCCCCACAGGGGACTGCCCTACAGGACATTCCTAGAAGGTGAGTCTGTTGTTTCTGATGGTTGGAGAATTCCATGGAGACCAGATGTCCATTCACAGCCTGCAAAACCAAGCGTCCCAGGTCCCTCTCTGCCCAGTGAACTGGCAAATTTGCTGCTGTTCAGACTGAGGGAAGGCACACTGGGCTCCTTCAGTGACAGCCCTAAACATGTTGAGCCAGAAACCACTAAGGGAAGGGGAGAAAGGAGGAAGTAGGCCTGAGCCTGGCACTTGCCAAGTATACCGTAATTAGGAACTCTCCTTCCTACCTTCCTGAGGCAAAGGACTTGTTCTATGTCCATCTTATTCCTCAAACACCCACATGATCCAAAATGCAAAGTCTGGTCTTACCTCAGTGACGATGGAGGAGCCAGGCATGTCGTACACCCAGCCATGCTGACAGGGGCCCAGTGGCGGGTGACTCCTGTTGTCAGGCAGGCTGGACAGAGGGTCCACGCAGCTAAGGGTGCTCTGGTTCCAGTCCACCTCGTACTGCATGCACTGGTGGAGAAAGGCCTCATTCTCAGCCCCCAGGCCTGGCACTGTGTAGTTGTGCTCTTCGGCCTGGCTCCAGCCGCACCGCTGGCTCAGCTCGGCCACCCTGGGGTTCCAGCACCAGTGGTCAGGGGTAAAGCCCAGGAAGACGATGCCCACATAGATGGGGGCTAAAGCAACGGAGATCAGACACAGGGTCAGAAAAGCTTGCTTCTGGAACCAGCCAAACTCCCCAACCTGCTCCAGAACATCATCCACGGTGGGCATGTCTGGGCAGCACCCTCATCAACTTGGCCAGATGTGTTCTGGGTTGCAGTGGCTACATTCAAGGTCTTATCTGAAGCTCTTCAGAATAGGGTGGTTTGAAATCAAGTTGCTGTCCAAGCATGATACATCAGGAAAGCAACCAACCAGAAATAACCTTTTACCCCACGGTGCCAGCGCAAGGGCAAGGGCAGAAAGCATGAGGTTGGCTGGTTGCTTTGTTTGCTTTGCTGGGAAGCTGAGGCCTGAGAGCAATGAGTTCCTCCACACAGAGAAGAGAGCCTGTAAGCAGCCACCATCTCACAGAGCCTTTCAGAAGACAGGATCTGATAAAGGACTTTTTACAGTCCAGATGAATCAAAAGTAGCAAACTATTTGCACAGCATGATGGAGAAATAAGATACTTCAGCAAAGAGCTTTTTATAACCCAGATAAATCAAAGGTAGCAAATTGACTATTTGCACAATAAAGAGGTTTTTATAACCCCAATGAATCAAAGGTAGCAAACCAGCTAGTCTCACAGCAGTTTATTGTTCCCAACTAGAGTAGGGCCTACAGCCCTTCGCAGCTGGGCTTTTGAACAGGCACAGTTTGTTGCCTCTCTGGACCCTGGTCCAGTCAGTTGAGAGGAATTTAGGACAAAAATTCACGGAAGAAAGAGCAGCAAAGGACCACAGGCCACTCAGTGATTCTCCCACTGGAAATACCAGCCCGTGTTTATCAAACCCAGGATAAGATGCCTGTCATCTAAGTTGTTCTTACCAAGGCCTTTGAGATGAATGCTGTCATTGTTCCCATTCCACACCTAAGAGAACGGACGCTGGGGAGAGAAAGTCTGTGTCACCATCTAGGGCTGCTTGAACCTATCCCACTCCAGAGCAAGGGCCCATGGCTTCCCCAGAGACACCTCACAGCTCAGTTGCTGGTTCCTTTTTTCATTCCACAAATATCTGAGTCCCTATACATTTCAGGCATTATGCTAAGCTCTGAGCTGCCAAAATGGGAAGGTTCCCTCCTTCAAGCAGTTTACAGCTCAGCAGATGAGATAGACTTACAAAGGAGCAATCACTAGGGTGGTCACAGCAGCCAGTACAAGGCCCTGGGGAAACCCTAACACTGGCCCCTCAGCCCAACATTTGTTCTGCAAGAGGAGCAGGACAGACCAGAAGAGAGAGAGACAAGCAGGGCACAGCAGGCACTGCCAGTGGCCCCAAACACCTCACCTCCCAGTGTGGTGAGAGTGTGAGAACTTGTAATTTTCCTGAAACCAATGAAAACTGCAAATGCCATGTTGGCACATGACATTTGTTGTGTCACATAAGACTGTGACATCCACCTTTTCGGAGTCTCTCTCCCTGCGGCTTGACGAAGGGAACCACCCTTTTAGGAGGTCCATATGGAAGGAGCTGAGGGTGACCCAGCAGGTCACCAACAAGAAGTGGGGACCCTCAGTCCTTCCACTGCAGGGGCTGCATCTGCCCACAACCACATGTGCTCAGGAGAGCTTCTTTCTCCAGACAAATCTTACACTGAGGCTGTAGCCGTCCTCCCAACCTGACCCACAGATAGTAACAGACGGGAGTGCGTGGCTTTACACTGACACGTGGCAAGGTGATTATGCAGTGACAGGACAACTCTGTGCTCAGGCCTCAGAATGCATGTGCAGCCTGGAGGGGTAGGCTGGGCTCTGTCCTTCTGCAAGGTCTGTGCTATGTGCTCAGGCTCCAGTATGCCTGTGGGCAACCTTGACCAGGGCCTATGAGGCAGGGCAGCTAGAGGCCTGTTTGGACATGCCCTCCCTTCACCCTTTAGTCTTCTGGGGACATGGAACAGCCTGCACTTGGCAGGCCCCCAGCTTCAGGGCAACTCTGAGCAAGGGGGTGCTCACCATGGAACAGAGAAGGGAGCCAGGTAGTCGAGTCCTCTGGCTTCCATCCCAGAAACATCCCCTTCTGGCTAACGTGGGGCTCACTGGGTCATGAGGCTCTCCCTGACTCCACACAAAGAATCCCTCAAACCCATCTGGGACTTCAGTAAGTGCCACTACCTCCCCTGAGAAGGCTCCAAGTGAGCCAGCTGTGAAACAATCTGAGCTCCAGGAAAGGGCAGGAGCAGCTCTGCACAGGTGTGAGACCTCAATGGGCTTTGGCCTGGCCTTGCGGATGTGAGGCATCAAAGTGCCACAGGCAGAAAACACACCACCCTGCCTGCATTTCAGCTCCAAGAGGGCACATGACACCAGGGCTGGGTCCCTCCACATGGACACAGGAGTAACCGGTAGACACTCAGGCTCCACCTACCCATTTCTGGGATTTTTGTCTCTTTCTTGGGTGGGCACTCAGAGCTGTCACCTCCAACCCAGCAGTGCCCTGGCTGCCTTGGTTACAGGCATGAACCACACTCGGGATGGGGAAGGCCTGCAGCTCCGAAATCCCCCTTCTAGGAGTTTTCTTGTCCACAACTGCCTGCCTTTCTGGAAGGCTGAACTCCCCCTAGCCGGAAGAAGCCCCTCCCCAACACAAGTGCATAGGGTGCACTCAGAGCGGGGTGTTCGCTCTTACCAGCCAACTCCGTAAGTACCCACTCCCCTGAGCCAGGTTGCCCTGCAGGTGTTTGGGAAGCAGCCAGTGTACAAAGGTCCAGTTTTCAACCCACACCGGGGAGAAAGCAGGGCCCCTCCTGGTCTCATGTGCCCCGTGGCCAGCCAGACATTGTGGCCCAGCTCACATATTCCCTGCATAAAATCAGCTGCCCTACCTGGGCAGGAGTAGCCCTTCCCACAGTTCTGGTGGGTGCAGGCCCTCTTTCTTTGCTTGGACCAGAGCACGGGCTGGTTCCTTTTTTCTGTCATCCAGCTTCATGGTTTGGGTCCACAAAGGGATGGCTAGCTATCTGGGGCAACTGAAATTGCAGGGACAGAAGTGACTAACAGTGTGGCCTATGAGAGCTGGGCAACAAGAAAACAGAGCAGTCCTTTTGCTGAGCCTGAGATTCAATCTGACAAATGCTTGAGTTACCCACAAGTCATAGATGAAAAACCAAGGCCAGGAGGGCAACTGGTATGATTTGGCTGGTACAGTTTGTCCCTGCCAACAATCAAGCTGAAATTTAATTGTCAGGGCAATGGTATGAAGGAGTGATGGGCACTTTAACAGGTATTTGGGCAGCCAGGCATAGTGGCACAGATTTGTAATCCCAGAGCTCTGGGAGATTTGAGGCAGGAGGATCACAAGTTCAAGCCTAGCCTGGACAACTTAGTGCAACCCTATCAATACATAAATGAACAGCTGGAGATATATATAGCTCAGTGCAAAGACCCTGAGTTCAATCTCTAGTACCATAAAATAATCCTTTAAAAAGGAGCTGTCCAGCTCAGAGGAGGAGGTTAGTTATGATAAGAGCAAGTCGTCATCACGCACCTGGCCCTTAGTCCCCTCCCTCCTCCATATGTGCCCCCTTGTCCTTCATGATTTCTGTCAGGAGCACAAGGCCTTCACAGTTTCCCAAGTCATAAGCTAAAATAAACCTCTTTTCTTTATAAATGACCCTGTCTCAGGTAACAAAACAAAACAAAGACAGCAGGTCACCTGCCCCACCTCATGTGGCCAGCTCAGATCAAGCCTCAATAAGTCAGTTCACACAAATCACCATCATCAGTGACCAATTTTCCAAAAGTCCTTGTACATTTTCCCAACTCAGACAATGTCCAGTTAGACAAAAATTCCAGGTGGGTACTCTCTTCAGTCTGGGGCAGTTGACCCTAGGCCTTAGTACCTCCTGGGAGGAGACAGGGACAGAACCAGCTCCAGCAGCAAGAACACTGTCTTATCTGGAAAGGGAAGAGAAAGCATGGTCCAAGGGCAAGTCCAGATCTGCACCTGGGATGCCAGTTGCCAGGGTGCTCCAGGGGCTGCCTGCAGAGTCCAGGTGACTGTCCCAGGGAAGTGGTTTCACAGGTTGATGTGTCCCTGCCTGAAGGACTGAGATGGGGCAGAGACTTGGTATTACAGATATTCTGGAAATAAGAGCCACTCCCTAGGCCTGCTGACCTCTCCCTGGTCACCAGCTGCCCGGTGCCAGGACAGTGCTCGGACCCCTGCAGGTGCCCCAGGCTTGGGCCTTCTCATTGGGTCTCCAGGCGGTTGTACGTCCTGTGTCTGTCAGAAGGGGACCACTGTGATAGGGGCAGACCCTAACCTCCAGCACCTTCTTCCAAAATAGTAGCATAGCATAGGCTCCAAGGGAGAGTCAGTGACTCACCCTCGCTAAGAGTGTGGTACATCCTTGAGGGTCTTAGCTGGGAATCTGAAGTACTGCCCTCCTCAGAGCACAGACACCCCCAGTTCTGACTCCTAAATTTCCCCACACTGACCCCCAGCTGTAACAGTGACACAGAAGGCCGACAGGGCCCTCCTGTCCAGCAGGCCTTCCCTGCCAGGCACAGTCACCAGAGAAGCTTGCTGGCAAACTCTGCTTCTGTTTCCTGTCCAGTGCTGGACAGGCTGGATCCAGGGCCTGTGCCTGCCTCGCTCGCCCAGGATACATGTGAACCAGAAGTCAAGCACAGTATTCCCACTTCCCTCTTGCTGCACCAACAGAGTTCACTGGGGGCGGGGTTGGGCGTCCCTGGGAGCACAGCCAGACCGGCACCCAGAGAGTACAGCCAACTTCCAGTTGGAGGCGGGACCACCACCTGCACTTGGTTTCCTGTCTTGGGTCTATCCAGCTTGGGCCTTACCTTGCTGACACCTGGCCAGCCACACTCAAGGCCTTGACGTCCATGTGGCAGCCTTGCCGCAGACCAGCTTGGGTCTCAGCTACCCTTTCCTCCTGCCCACTCTGCTTCCCACAGGCACCCGTGGGACCACCTATTCAGTCACTCATTCCACTGATGTGCAGTGTCTGCTGTGCCCCATGTGTGTCACTACTGAGAAAGCAGCAGGAGCAAGACATCAATATTTGGATTTTGAAATAGAAGGACAGCAACTGATTAGAGCAGGCAGACAGTACAAAGAACAAAGCCTCTGGTCAGAACATTCATCAGATAACAGATGTAGGTGGATGCTTCACCTCAAAGCCGGAGATCAGGGCCAGTCTATGGGGTGGCTCTGAGCCCTGCAGAAGGTAGGAGAGTGAGCCT